GCTTTTGATACGTGAGAATTATGGAATTGATACACTATGACTAACATATATGCATACATCATTTTGATAAGAATATAATGCTAATGTACGGGATGTAAGAAAATGATCGGATTGGAGATTTGAACTGTTAGCGACTTGTTGCTATTATTATCGTCATTGTAGTAGTTCTGTTATTAGAAAATTTACTGTTGTCTTTCTACCACTAATACTATGAATATTCCGTGACCGAATTAAAATATTCTCTAGGATTTGGGCTATTGACTTTTTGCCGGCAAGTAAAAGAAAATTTATCTTCTAACAAACATCCTAATCATCAGTCATCGTGGTTTTCTTTTTCTTTTTCGGACTTTATTGCTTCGGCTAAAAATTCAGTGCTAAATAGTCGGCTTCTCTTAAATAATCCGGTAATCGTGTTAGTTTCTCAACTGTTGTTTATTAAATTGCTCTTGTAAATTAATGGCTTGATTTTGAGCCTGACTAGTGTGCTGATTATTATTGTGCGAATTAAATTTGTGGATTATTATTTGGCTAAATTAGTAACAAAATTGAGAGCATGAATTCCGCCAGCAATAAGTTGTAATCATTCTAACATTTCTTTGACCGATTTATTTTTACTTAATTGGTCGGGTAATAATAAAGGATGAGGCACACCGCGGCAAAAAAAGAATTCTTAAGTGTTATACTAGTAAGTTGGTTTTTTCAACAATCGATACTTCTAAACTAGGAAAGTCGGGTTTCCTCTCCTAGATCGTTTTTACTAATGTCCAGTCAATTTATTCATTCTCTTTTGTTTAAACAATATTTATTATCTAAATATCTCGGCTTTCTTTGCTTAGTTCTTTTATCAATTTTTTGAGGGCCATGTCCTTTTCCTCTTAGATAAACTGGAGTTAAGCCAGATTTAATTCATTTCTTAGTTTCATGATAACCAAAATTTAAATCCTTTCATTCCTCTCATCAAACTCTTCATTGTTGTTATCGATAAATTATTAGTGGAACGTAGTAATAATAAGTATATTTGGGAAAGTATTTATTTCTGTGCCATTGACGTACAATAAAGTTATATTACTATCGCTATGATGGTTGGTTATCGTGTGAATAGATCGTAGTTTGCACGCGATGTGTATTTCATGATTGATTTTCGATTTAATAAAGTAAATAAAGTTGAAGTTATTTTTGGATTTGCATGTTAATAATCAAAAGCATGGGTATTTTGTGTATATATGGTTAGAGTTGCTATTGTTATTCGGAAGAATTATGCTCCATAAGTCAGGTGGGAAGTTTTTCTTATTTCAAACGAGCTGTACCACTTTGAATAGAAATATTAATTAATATGAGTGCGCGGCGTTTGTTCTTAACAAGTTTTGTCGCATCATCGTTAACCATTATGATGAGAGTCAATACAAACATACAAGATTAGACTTTAAGTATGAAGCTTCGTGAGTTGGGGATGACGAATTGTGGTAATGGTAAAGATTATCGAAATTATAACGAACCTTATTACAATATAGTAAAGTTTATTATAATACAATGTAGTTCGTTATAATATAGTTATAGTGAAGTTCGTTATCGAAAAACTTCGTTATATTCTTATTACAGTCGAACCTCGTTATACCGAAGGGTCGGGGGAGGCATCCATGATATTCGGTATAACGAGACATTCGGTATTAGTATAGTGAGGTACCTCTATATAACGAAGTTAGGCCTAGTGTCAAGCGATATTCGTTATAATGAGACTTATGTGAATAATATCTTTACTCCAATTTACAAACAATAATACATGAATAATTATACTAATTAGTAACAAATGAATCTGTTAGTTTGTTTTTGCTTTGCAATCCCACCTTTCTCTTCAATACACGAAAGGCTTTAAATTCGTCGTAATTTATTTCTGTCACCAGAAAGTTGAATGCCGTTTCAAGTGCAACTACTGCATCTTTATTGAAGAGACGGTAGGGAGAGATTTCGAGCTACTTTCATCATCGCCTTCCTCTTCTCTGCGGGAAAGAAGGAAGAAACAATTTCGTCATCTGTCACCATTTCCTTGCTTATGTTTGATGAAACAACATGTGCAAATTTAAAATACAGTAGATAATTCGGACACTTTATGGTCGTACAGCATATTCAATATAACCAGCACAAATTCCGGACTCAATAATAAGAAGAGCATTGCTGACATTATAATCAAAGCTACAAAGTAGACAATAAAGGTTGTTTAAGCCATGTGATAGTTGGTCTGTACAAGCTCTAAGGAAGAACTTTCACCACAAGCATTATTCGAAACACTAAGTAATATGTGCATTAGTTAGAGAAAAAATCTTGATAAGAGTAGCGCAACGGTGATTGACAATTGGAGGGGACAAGATATTAATAACATAAATAAAGTTATGTATAATATATTATATATTATTTACCGATGCGGAATTAAAAGCAGCGATGTCATATTCAATATTCATTTACCAAGATAGAAACAATCTCTATTATTAAGATAACCAATAACAACATTCACCAGTAACTGAAATAATACGAATGATTTTGACTACAAGCTCAAAATAGTGTAATTTAGGCAAAAGTGAGTTCTTATTTAAACGAAAGACGTCCGGAATTTGTGCTGGTTATATATTGATGAAGAGGGCGTTTTATACAGTATACCGTATTTCACCTATACCCGGGGTATTCCCTTGGGTACATATCTCGATTTGTTTTTCTAAAATTCTATTGGCTGTCGATAAATTTCATCTAATGTGATTCCAGATTTCCTAGAATTAACGCGTTAGATAAATACTTCGAATTAACATTAATTGTGATTACAAGTAACTTTTTTATGTCTCCCGGTGTATATGGCCTCGTGGATTCTATAACTCGCATAAGATGTGTCGGAGATGACAATATTTATAAAATTTGTTGCATCTTATTATTATAGTGTTAAATTTTAATTCGCAGTTTTTATTGGCAAATTAGAAGAGGGTACAAGTCACAGGGAAATATATATGCCGGAAGGATATACAGTTACATGTTGGTGATTATATCAGGGTTTCCATATGATGTGACTATATCGACTGTGACTATAATTGAGCTAAAATCTCACGTGAAATCAAAAAAAAATTTTTTTGTCGCGATCGCAATAATATGTTTGTCAATAACACTTGTTATGACAAAGAATTGTTATATCCTGGTCGTTTAGGTAAGTAAGTACTCAATGCTAGCGGAATAGCTAAAATCTTAACTACATTTTGTTTTGATAGCCCTCGTTGCGTACTTGAAAAGCCATGATCCTAAGGATTGGTCGTACATGGAGTTTTTAAGACTTAACCGGGCCACTATCGTCGATGTACCACCTTTCTCAGACGATTGGACTGGCAATCATGGTGCATGGTTTAGAAGATATTTGTGGGCGGTCGGCGAAATAAACCCGAAATTAAACGGTTCTGAAAAAGAAAAGGTAATATCTTTTCATGCATTCATCGGAAAGGGAGCTCTACATACGGTGACTACCGGATGTAGAGTATACGGTGTCTACCGGACCCAAGTGTTGGTGGTGGAAGCTTCAGATACGGTGACTACCGGATCTGCGGTATACGGAGACTTCCGGGTCCCCACCTTCGCGACCCGCTTTACTCTGTCCTTTGATTTGATCACTAAAGAGGCATTGAAATTATAAAATACTTGACCTTCACTTTTATTTGCAAACAGGTAAATGCAGCCCATTCGAACTCTGCCCTGCATCAATTTTGGCGTGAGGTAATTTCGGATCGCAAGCAGGTAAGCTATGAGCAGGTTTATTTATTATTATTATTATTATTATTTTGTCAGGGTAAACAACATTGATCGATTTTATAAAAGCTTGGATTAAGGAACATACTTGATATGGAAAGCCTTGAGTTGTTGGGCGAGGCAAGTAAATTCCAATCACAGAAAGCTCGTATGAATTATAGATATCAGACTCGGATGTTGGCACATTCATTGGATAAGCGCCCCTATGAGAGCACAGTATATGAGGATGAACCACGGATTTGGGTTATGAGAATAAGAAGGCTAAAAAGGTTAGTATCAGCAGAGAATTTAATTTGTGAAAGTTTTAGCCATTGTAATTTTTGAATGCATTTATGAACAGACTAAGACACTTGAGAGTCATGGAACAGCAGAAGACTCAGATGGTGATATGGCATACACAGAAGAAATCCAAGACCTTTCTCTGGTATTGTAGCTTTGCTAGTTTTACTTATTATTGTAGAATATACTGATGTACTTAATTTCCTAGGATGAGATGAATATTCGTGGTAAACTGCTTGCAATTTTGGATGAATACAAACAAAAAGAGGAAAAATCTGGAAAAACATATATATCCTCAACATATCTCAATAACATAATAGAGCTTGTTAATGCAGATATGCAGAAGACAATTGAGAGGGCTCTAGATGAGAAACAACGTTCATGGTTTGAAACAGCTCTAAAAAAGCAAGTTTGGGAGCCAACTAAAGAAGTTAGACAGTACTTCAGTCAGTTTACAGAAGATACATGCAATCGAATCAATATTCCAACACTTGTTCGTAAATCTTTCATTTCAGGAAGGTTTGATCCTTATTATCATGAAGGTCATGATATTGTGCAGCAAGTCTTTACCCATTGGTAAGCATTGTTGCATATATAGTGGTAATTTTTCCCTCATTGTTGCTAACCTTTTTATGGATAGTTCCATCCGCTTAGAAGCACCAACAAAACATCCTGACTTTGAACGACCTTATGCAATAGATACTGTTGTGTATATTCTTAATCGATTATTTAGGATGCACCAGGATGTGCTAGTACTAGATGGTGGATGGTAAGCATCAACAATGAGTTTTGGGATATACTAATATTTGCCTACTAATTCTTTCCTTCATTCACAGGATTGAACTGACAACACCTGATACTAAGCAGCACAAGGTTGATGGAGTTTTTAAGACAATCAAAACAAACAATAACCAGGCTATCATAATTGTGGAGTTTTTATGTGATAGAAGGGCATCCTCATCTAAAAAGGGAGAAGATCATATCAAATTAAGCTGCAATTCAGTGCACATTCTAAACAAGTTACTAGAAAGTGTACCAAGGGACATTGCACGTGTATACTTAGTACAGACTGCTAGTAAGTATTTAATTGAAAACTTAGTGATATAAATGTCTGATTGTTCACATGTGCTAATGTATTTTGTGCATAGATAGCTACATTGATGTCAAATACTTAATTTGTCCCTTGCCATCAATATATTTACTTCAACGGTTTGCATACATTAAAATACCATTGACTTTTGATGACTTTGAGCTATTTTCAGAAGCTATGACTGATTTGATTAGCTGGCAGGTATGGATATTGATGAGCATTTGGAAACGCCTTACTATTACTTTTCCTGACTTGTGTTTACTATTCCAGAAAGATGTACTCTTTACAATAAAGGCAGTTAATAGAAGTGGTACTAGAATAAAGGGCAATGATACCTGGAATGTCTGAAAAACTCTTGTACAAGATACACCACAAAAGCCAAAGTCAAAGAAAAAACAAAAGAACACAGATCATCTCTCATCTTCAGATTCTGAATCACCATGTCCTGGTGATATATCTGAATTACAACCACTAATCTAATCAGGGCATTATGTAGACTTAGTATTAGAAATTAATTTGACAAATTATCTGTCATAACATCTGTTTTGTCAACAGTGTTGCTGATGTATTTGTTGTGCTAAGAATAAAGTCACTAATTCTTCCTATTAACTTGTAAAGAACAGAGGATTTTTATTTACTGTTTTCAAAATTACCAGCCATGTGAACACAAATGGTGTGATGAGATATCAACAAGTGTACAGATTTAACTCTCTATAATTCTCTGCTTTATAGTAGTAGTCAGTTTTATTTTTTTGGCATAAATTTAAATGTATTTAAATTTTGTACATTTACATATAAGCCATACTTGCAAGTAAGGCAACCTCTTGTCAAAGCCTTATCACTTGAATTTTTAGACAAGAGCTTTTTAAACTCATTCCAGAGAGTTAGAGTACAACTCTCTTGTATGATTTGGTTGGTTTAATATTAAAAGAGTTAGGTTGTTGTGTGGTCTGACCCAGTTACAAATATTGCAAATTTCACACCAATATCATTGAGTTTGTCAACTACCACATTATATTAATATGCAACATCTTGTTGGTGGTTATTAATATATAAAACAAAACATGCAATGGTAAAAATTGCATACAAACGCAAGAGGCGGCCCCGTAATGGGAGAAGGCTCGAATTGATTGTGTTGGTGAACATGCAAGGAATAGCAAAAACATGACAGCTTCTGCAGCTTTGTAAAGAAATGTTTACAAATGAAAATCAATTAGCATTCTTGGCTGCAGACTCTTGTCAGAAGACAATATAAACAAACCACGTTTATTGAACAAAAGCTTTTTTGAATAGCAATAGTGCAAATGTCTCATTTGTGATTAGAGAAAACCACGTATAGTTCTTTTGCGTAATTTGAAAATACATTGCAGCAAACTTTTTGTGAATGTGAATTCATCTTAATCTTGTAATAGGTCTGAAATGTGAACGGTGAAATATCCATGTGACTGCGCTACCGAAATTAGAATAATACAAAAGATGAGTATTTCGAATTTCGGAATTTTGATACTTGTCGCACAACTTTAATCATATATTATTTTTATTGGACATCAATTAACTACGGGAGTCAGAAATTAGTTCTCAAACCGCTTAAATACGACTGCTCCCGAGCAGTTTCAGCATGTTTTTTGCATCTGGTCTTGATGACTTGAAAAATAATTTCTAACTCTTATTCTCGAAAATAAATCAACTATCGATAAATGAAATCCAACCGTCCCTGAACATGATCGACCTTGCATAATTCACCCTGAAATCAACCTCGGTATATGAAATCTAATGCATAACGAAACCTTGTTAGACTTTCGTCATAAAACTCGGTTAACTTATCG